AAGGAATCCAGATTGGTAAAGAAGAAGTTAAACTGTCACTATTTGCAGATGACATGATATTGTACATAAAAAACCCTAAAGACTCCACTCCAAAACTACTAGAACTGATATCGGAATACAGCAAAGTTGCAGGATACAAAATTAACACACAGAAATCTGTGGCTTTCCTATACACTAACAATGAACCAATAGAAAGAGAAATCAGGAAAACAACTCCATTCACAATTGCTTCAAAAAGAATAAAATACATGGGAATAAACCTTACAAAAGAACTGAAAGACCTATACCCTGAAAACTATAAGACACTCTAAAGAGAAATTAAAGGGGACACTAACAAATGGAAACTCATCCCATGTTCTTGGCTAGGAAGAATTAATATCGTCAAAATGGCCAACCTGCCCAAAGCAATATACAGATTTGATGCAATCCCTATCAAATTACCAGCAACATTCTTCAACGAACTGGAACAAATAGTTCAAAAATTCATATGGAAACACCAAAGACCCCAAATAGCCAAAGCAATCCTGAAAAAGAAGAATAAAGTAGGAGGGATCTCACTCCCCAACATCAGGCTCTACTACAAAGCCATAGTAATCAAGACAATTTCGTACTGGCACAGGAACAGAGCCACAGACCAGTGGAACACATTAGAGACTCCAGACTTTAACCCAAACATATATGGTCAATTAATATTTGATAAAGGAGCCAAGGACATTCAATGGGGAAATGACAGTCTCTTCAAAAGATGGTGCTAGCAAAACTGGACAGCTACATGTAAGAGAATGAAACTGGACCATTTTGTAACCCCATACACAAAAGTAAATCAGAAATGGATCAAAGACCTGAATGTAAGTCATGAAACCATAAAACTCTTAGAAAAAAACATAGGCAAAATCTCTTAGACATAAACATGAGTGACCTGTTCTTGAACATACCTCCCCAGGCAAGGAAAACAAAAGTAAAAATGAACAAGTGGGACTATATTAAGCTGAAATGCTTCTGTACAGCAAAAGACACCATCAATAGAACAAAAAGGTACCCTATAGTATGGTAGTATATATTTGTAAATGACAGATCGGATAAAGGCTTGACACTTAAATATATATAAAGAGCTCACCCACCTCAACAAACAAAAAATGAATAATCCAATTAAAAAATGGGCAGAGGAATTGAACAGTTCTCCAAAAAATAAATTCAGATGGCCAACAGACACATGAAAAGATGCTCCACACCGCTAATTATCAGAGAAATGAAAATTAAAACCACAATGAGATATCACCTCACACCAGTAAGGATGGCTACCATCAAAAGACAAACAACAAATGTTGGCGAGGTTGTGGAGAAAGGGGATCCCTCCTACACTGCTGGTGGGAATGTAAATTAGTTCAACCATTGTGGAATGCAGTATGGAGGGTCCTCAAAATGCTCAAAATTGACTTACCATTTTACCCACGGAATCCACTCCTAGGAATTTACCCTATGAATGCAGCACTCAAGTTTGAAAAACACAGATGCACCCCTATGTTTATCGTAGCACTATTTACAATAGCCAAGAATTGGAAGCAACCTAAGTGTCCATCAGTAGATGAATGGATAAAGAAGATGTGGTACATTTACACAATGGAATATTATTCAGCCATAAGAAGAAAACAAATCCTACCATTTGCAACAACATGGATGGAGCTAGAGGGTATTATGCTCAGTGAAATAAGCCAAGTGGGGAAAGAAATACCAAATGATTTCACTCATATGTGGAGTATAAGAACAAAGGAAAAACTGAAGGAGCAAAACAGCAGCAGAATCACAGAACCCAGGAATGGACTAACAGGTATCAAAGGGAAAGGGATTGGGTAGGATGGGTGGTAGGAAGGGATAAAAGGGGAGAAGAAGAAAGGGGCTATTATGATTGGCATGCATAATGTGGCATGTGGGAGGAAGGGGAGGGCTGTGCAACACAGAGAAGACAAGGAGTGATTCTACAACATTTTGTTATGCTAATGGAGAGTGACTATAATGAGTTTGTCGGGGGGAGAGCCTAGTTAACATAATATTCTCCATGTAATTGTAGATTAATGATAACAAAAAAAAAGAGAAAGAAAAGGGGGATTACTCCCTGATAGGACAAATCTAACTGCAAATCAACGATTAATGCATGCTTTACATATCCTTAATTTTGATCTTTTAAAGGGTGTCAGATGATCAGCTATGGAAGTACATTTTTCTGATAATATTCCTTTCTCTTAAAAAAAAAAGCAGTTCATGTGTGGTGATCTCCAATAAGTTATTCACAATGGTATAAAGGGCATATCAAAGTGTGGGCAAAGGGTTTCATTGTGCTTATACAGAGGATCAAAGCCCAATTTGGCTACACAGAAAACGAATTAAGATACGATACGAAGGAGAACTTCCAACATTAACATCCTCTGGAAGAGTCATTCCAGAAGATGAACATCAAAAAACTTCAACAAAGATCCTGGCACTGTTGCAGTTGTAGCTGCATTCATCCCACTGGTTCCTGGACTTGCCATTGGAATGAAAAAGGAGATATCTAAGCTGGCCTGTGCATACAGTAAAACAACAAATTTGACTGGATCTATACTATCGGAACTCAACCAAGAATTAGGAGAAGTGCAAGTTGCAGCGCTCCAAAATCGTGTGACTATAGACTATCTACTGTTAAAAGAATATATGAGATGTGAACAGTTCCCAGGAATGTGTTGTTTTAATTTGTCTGATTTCTCTCAAACTATTCAAATTCAGTTAGATAATATCCATTATATCATTGATAATTTTTCACAAATGCCTAAGCTACCTAACTGGTTTTCTTGGTTTCACTGGATATGGCTGGTAATTATAGGTCTGCTTTTGTTATGTAGCTGTATTCCTATTATGTTAATGTGTGTGCGCAATTTAATTAGTTTATTGAAACCTATTCATGCTTACATTACTCTACAAGAAGATATGTCAAAGAAATAATCTTCCCATGTTTTCTTCCATCTGCTACTTCTATAGCTTTTCTTCTTCCTTCCTAAATACAGCCCTTTAGTAGAATTCGTGCCTCATATTGAATTCACCGAGTATCATAATTCCTTCAAGTGGTAAAGATGCCTCAAGACAAATGCTGGGCATAGAAGCCACAGGGCATAAATCTGCAACGAAGTAATAAGCTAACCTTTTCAAAGAATATTGCTTCTCTCTCACTTACCAACTTCACATTTCCCTGTATGGCCCCAGAAGATGACTGGTTAGCCAGAGACGGGTAAGATTCCTCAAGGGAGGAACAACCTAAGACAGGCACAGTCGCAGGGGGGCCATCAGGTGAGAAATTGGGGATCAACAGAGGTGAGGCTTAGAACCTCACCCCCCCTGTTTTGAGAGAAATCTTCTGCATCCGTGGATATTTTGTTGCCCTTGTCTAGCTTTGATTAGTACTTAGTCTATAGGCACAGACCTGATCATCTACATTTGCCCTCTTACAGCACTAAATTATGTTTTCTACCTTTATCTTGTATCTACCAACCACTTCAGCATTTTATTAAAAAAAAAATAATAATAATAATAATAAAGGGAGAAATGTGGGATTCACATATAAATCAAGTATAAAAATCAAACGAATAATCATATCTGACTTGATTGTTTATAGTTCATGATGCGTGATCAAAACCGAAAGTTTCTGTGATGACTGCCCTTGCACTGTTCACCATGTAAGAACTTATTCACTATGTAAGAACTTATTCACTATGTAAGAACTTGTTCGTTATGCTTCAGAAGATTGGAGACTGTTGAGAATTAGGCTTGGGGTTGTTTAATGATTGTGCATTGAGTCCCCTATACAGAATTTTATTGTTGTTAACAACCATTTGATCAATAAATATGAGAGATGCCCTCTCAGCAAAAAAGAAAAGAGGTCCATGGATCTCTAGGGCACTCTCACATGTAAAAGAAATGAAATAGATACTAGAAATGAAACTTTAAAGGAGACAAATAATATCATAAATGTACTATAGTATAAACAGTCATATATTTTTATGTTGCATGAGAGTACCTCCAAATTCTTTTTTTTTGAGAGTACCTCCAAATTCAAGATAAAATCTACCATAGGATAGAACACAAATTAATAATCCCCCAAAACAAAATCCATGAAATAATTTGAAATGATCAGAAATTTGACATAAAATTTTTCAAATTCAGTATACAATGAACCCGATTCTCACCAACTCTTCATTAACAGACGACATTTTACTTAAATAACAAAAAAATTGACTGGCACACTTATTAGCGACTGAAGAACAAAGAAGAGTAAATTGCAGTAATTATCCCATCCACAAAAGTGGTTTCCTTGACCAAAATGTAAGTTTCAGGATTCCTCTGTTTTATTTCAACATAAAGAAGATAACAAAAATCAGCTTAGTTTTTATTAAATAAAAGTTATTTTGAGGGTGTCCATGACTTTTGCTGCCAACATCTGGTAAAAACACTATATGGACAAATACTTAAAAGAAGTCAGTGTATTGTATGTCAAACATCAAGTTGAAACAGGAATCACTAAAACTGAGAATGAAAATTACCCCCGCAAGAAAACCTTCCCCTAATATTAAACTACATACATACACTAAATATGACCAACATCTTGCATTAATTATTAATAAAAAGTATGCCCATACTCAAGTTATAACCTGTTTATATCCTAACAGGTTATCAGTATTGCTCCTTAAGACATTTACAAGTCTCCCTTCTCCTCACATACAACTGAAATAAGTAAGAGGTCTCCCACTGTCTTTGAAAACCTTTTCAGTGATCATTTTACTTATTTCTAAAGGAAATAGATTTATATGAAAAAGGAACCTTAAAAATATACCTGTCTGAAGAGTAGGATCAAAGCCCTTAAAAGATCAACATTTTTCCATTGCCATTCTTCATAATATTCCCATAATGTAACAAAAATGAGAAAATTATCATCCATACTACCTAGGTTAGAGATATCTTCTCATTTTTCCTACCTGTATGGAAGTAATAGAAGCTGAATGTCCCTGAAGGACTGCAACTGGTGCACACGTTCGAAGACACCACACCCTTACAACTTTATCACAGCTGCCTGCGGCAATGAGAGTGTTTTCATAGTTAACAGCCATGTCAGAAATTTCAGCAGAGTGCCCTCGAAGTGTAGCAAGAAGGCGTCCATCATCTGTTGCCCAAATTTTCACCAAACAATCATCTGATCCCTATAGTAACACAAAGGACAGAAGATTTACAATGAAGCAGAAATTCATCCCCACCCCAGGCAAAAAAAGGAAAAAAGACAAAGGCAGAATTTTTTTGAGTTATTTCTGAGCCTTTACTTTTTAGCCTCTTCTCTCCACATAATAAGGATCCAGCAGCAAATGTAAAGGATGTTCAAATAACAGCACTTGTGACAAAGCATTGTCCAAACTGGCAACATTTGTAGAGGACTCTTCAAAACAACTACCAATCCTTACAGCTCAGAATATTTTTAACTCACTTTTAAGGGATTTGGCATTAAATATCTCCACCATTATTTCTTTCTTTAGGCCTGAGGGCCTTTTTACTTAATTGCTTGAATATCATTTTCCACAAATACATAAGGATTTAACCTAATGTCTATGTGCATTTCTCAGTAAACATAAGGCTTTGTTAATAATCTCTGGTGAAAATATTATGTTGAACTTCCTATTGAGAATTTCAAAAGAGCTTTAAAAATAGGAAAAAGCAGTTATACTCCAATGTGGTAAATACATTATCTAATTAATTATGTTTATAAAGAGATGGCAATTATTCTCATCATGATCGTCAACATGCAAATAAATAGGTGATACACTTGAAGTCATGAAAACATCAGTGGTAGAGTCTGTAATGAACTCCAAGGAGTCATAACTTCTCAAAATGCAAACCAGTTCCTTTGTCATACCACAGAAATCAAAAAAGAAAAGTATGCAGTTACTTACATGTCTGTTAACTTAGTACTGAAGCAATGAGACTAAGCCTTTTCTTAGAATTATGTGTGCTACAATTTTGTACCCAAAAGCACACTATATGATCTAGTTAACAAAAACCCAATTTTAAAAATTAGTACTATAAAAAAAGATATACACAACTGTAATCTTCATTACTATACAGTTCAACTATTCAACCATAAGGATGATGTAATCATTAAGCAGAACTGGTACCAATTATGCAAAGTGACAAATGAAAATCCATTTAATAAATGTTTCCTAAAATGGAATGAAAGGAAATTGAGTAAACTTCTTCCACATAAATTAACCACCTCTAGAATATAAGGCCTTCTTGCAGTTTAATTTTTTAAATTAGATTTCCAAAAGATAGAGAACATTACAGATCACCCACTTACTTATAATGTATTAAGAAAAGATTTTCAATTTACACTCATCTTTTCTTGCATTAGTGTATGTAAAGAAGGATGAACTGCTTACAAAGCATAGGATAGCTTCAATTGTTGTAAATCTCTAAAATGATACAGTATCATCAATTTTAAACTTACTGTAAAAATTCTTCTCCCACTTCGGTCAAATGCTACACAATAGACAGATGACAAGTGCCCCAGAATTCTCTTATGCATCTTAATGTGCTGGTATGCAGATGAAGGGAAAATATGGCTGAAGCGACTATATCCGGTTAGTTGCCTGGCAGAGGTGATATTCACTGGAAAAAATAAAACAGGAAATTCACTTTTTAAAACCTAGAAGTGGAACCTACTTAACAAAGTTAATTCATGAATATTAAAATGAAATAAAACAGGGTACACACACCACAGCGATTCTACCTTATGAAAAGTCTGAAATATACTACCCATTTCATGATTTCATCAACTCAAGTTCACTATCACAAAACACTAAAAATCTTCTTTTAAATCCCAGAAGTCTAAATTCCAGTTTTCATTACTATGGTTTCTCAAATACATTCCAGTTTGGCCTTTTTAGGTACACTATAGCCAAAGACACTGTCACTTTAAATATAAAGATAAATATTATTAAATATGGAGGAATTTTAGAATGAAGACTGTATAATACATTTAAAATTACATTAAAAATTTTATGAACTCCTGTCCTACCTCCTCACAACCATCTACCCCATGTACAGCTGTCCCTAAAATTTCATGATTAATACAACAGATATACAGTGGTAAGATGAAAAAAGCTGTGACACCACATAGGTTTTCAGTAGCAAACAATCCTTTCTAGGTTTGACTCTTAAGTTCTCCCCTTTTGATTTCTGAAACTGTAGGCTCTCCCTCTTCTTACCAAAGAACTTTTTTTTTAACTGAAGTATCATGATATATAATCTTACAATCTTATGTTGGTTTCAAATATACAATACAGTTCAACAGTTATCCATATTATTAAATTCTCACTCTCTCTAGTGCAGTTACTATCTATCAATGTAGAAAGATATTACAGAATCACTGACTATATTCTCCATGCTGTACTACCATCCCTGTGACCAAGTTATACCGTGACTGTGAATTATTGTGCCCCTTCATCCCCCTCACCCACCACCTGCCCCAACCCCTACCCCTTGGTAACCACTAGTCACTTCTCAGTATCTGTAAGTCTACTGCTGTTTTGTTCCTTCTGTTTTGCTTTGTTTTTACATTCCACAAGTGGAATCATATGATATTTGTTTTTCTCCACCTGGCTAATTTCACTGAGCATATCCTCTAGACCCATCCATGCTGTTGCAAATGGAAGTATTCCTTTTTATGGCTGAATAATATTCCAGTCTGTATATGTACCACTTCGTCTTTATCCATTCATCTATTGGCTTTATCTCCTATGAGATCATCTTAGATCCTGTCTTCCTTTTTCTGTTTGTTTTGCCTTGTTAATTTTCTTTAAAAGCAGCCAGAATAAAGTGTTAAGTCTGCCCAATTTTCCAAATACCACTTGAATTTTGCTCACTTCTCTAAAATGGAGATCTTGATCCCTGTGTAAGGATTTACAAGTACCTACATGCTCTGAAATTCCTCCAATCTTACCTTATACACTGAAAATACTTAACATCCTTCATATTATAATCAAAACATAGGATCCTTGTAAGTTCAAAGACATCTTGAGGCAGGATGACATTTTACCATAGTACATAAATAATACAGTACAAATGATAATAGCTTTATGTTGAAGCAGGGAAACATTAAGGCAAGAATTGAGTTATAGCTAGATTAGTAACATTAGAACCATACTACAATTAAAAACATGAAACTGGATATCTCAATCTTAAGAACAATGAAGTATTTTTTTTTAGGCAAAAGTAGATCTACTGGCCATTTTAAACTGACAAAATGATAAATAGTATTCATCCCAAAATGAATAAAACTTTGAATACAAATCATAAGAACACATTAGAGATCTGAATTGTAACACTGCAGGATGCTGAGTAAATAATAGTAGTAAATCCATAAGCATCAGTACCAGGAAAGAGAATTTCTTTTTGGCAGCTGCGCCCCATCCCAACCTCTAGAAATTTCCACAATTCTAATAGGAAGAGCACACACCATAACTTTGGGACTTCAATAATCTTCCTTCTCCAGTCAAACATTTCTTACAGCTCTGAGTTACCTGCAACAATCAACCATCACCTATTCCTTGCTTTTTTCTAGCCATATTCTACAAGTAGAGGAAAAGGTGCACTGCTTTAAGGCACGATTTCTCAACCTCCGAACTATTGGCACTTAAGGCCGGACAATTCTTCATTGTGGGGGGCTATTACACAATGTTAAGCAGCATTCTCAGCCTCTACCCTCTAGATGCTAGTAATATCCCACATACCACCAAGCTGTGACAAATAAAAATATCTTCAGACACTCTCAAATGTCGCCTGGGGTAAAAGTGTTTGGAAACCACTACTTGAAACAGAAACAACATCAACAGGAAGAAAAAACTCAAGAAAGGACTTTGAGAAGAATGAGAAAGAACCAGTGAAAGAAAGGGAGGAGAGGTAAACAGCTACCAGAAATCCAGTCATTCATGCAAATATTTGAATTTCTCAATGGTCAAAGGAACACAACTAAGCATATAAACAAAATATTACTGATCCCACTAAGAGTATCTTAGGCCCAAACTGTTAAATCAGGAACAATAACTGGAAACTTTATGCATCTTTATAGTATATGCAAATTAACTTTTACTTTTTTAAAGTCTACAAAGAAAACTAATAATTGAAAAGAGAAAAGGAAATATTTGTAAAAGAAGACAAAGTTTTAATATTTTAAAGCACAAAACTAACCATAAGTAAGAACACCATCAAGATCTAATAGATGAGTTGATAAAAGAAATTCATAGACAATTCATAACATAAAAAATACAAAAAATAACCTGAGTCACAGAAAATATTCACCTTTTTTCGGCCAAGTATCAAAAGTAATTGAATTGAAAATGATACAATTTTACACCTAACAAATTAGCATTTTAAAAGTTCTAAAACCTAATGCCAGCAATTACTACTTGAAATTTGTGTACATCTACATTTCGAGGTGCACTGTAAAATGACATGATCCATATGGAAAATAATTTTGGCAATACACTTTGAGAGTCATGAAAATACATACATACCCCACTGCCTGACCCCAAGGAATCTATCCTAGGGACATAACTGATTAGCAAAAAAAGAGTTGCATGTACAAAATGTTTAGTGGAATGCTATTTATAATACCAAAGATGATAAATAACTTAAGTCCAACAACAGGGGAATGGTTCATTAAATTATGGATTAGGTGATGGACAATTCCATAGGAACTAATAATTGACTATGAAAACAACAGCAGTATGGAAAAGTTTAAGAACTACAAAGCAAAAAAAAATGCAAATTTGTAAGTACACTATGATTTAAATTATATAGAAATATGCACACATATATGCATATATGAATAAAGATGAGAAAGAAGAGAAACGAAACCAAATGCTTTGTGATAAAAGTATAGGTTTTTTTAAAACACTGTTAAGTACACATTTTTATCTTAAACACAAGTTTTCTATTTGGTTCTTCGTAGTCATTACTAACAGCTATTCATATAAAGGTATGTTTCACATTTGACAGCAGCAACATCAAATATTCCTTCTTTCTTACCTCAGCAATATTTATTTATTGGCCCAGCACCTCAGATAACAACATTTATACATTTTTCTTAATCGATAATGTCAACATGCCTTAGGCTCTATACACTGAAGAGTTCTGTCAAAACTCTCTTTTGCATGTATTTTCCATTTAGACACTATTTTTCAGTACTGCTGCTTCTTGATTTTCTTACATTTCTATAGAGTACTATCAGGAATATTTTCCTCCATTGCAAATGGCTGATAACTGACTATAAAAATAAAATTGAAAAGAATTCGCTTTTGACCAACTCTTGTTTATTTTACTAGGAAGAGTAGCTCATTTTTCTAGCATGAATATTACACAGATTCTTTGAGGAATGGGGTATGCAAAGGCATTATTGCCTTCATCAAAAGTTAACAATAAAATAAAAAGAAACACATATACACACAATTATCACTGTATTGTATCTGAATGTCTCTATCAAATGTCCTATTTGAATGCACTGTTTCTTCTTCTATTATAAGCATAATGCAAGTTTAGAAATGAGCAATTTAACTTTCATCCTAACAAAGTAGAATGAGGTGTTAATGAGAAACAACCACAAATAATAAAAAGTTCCCACAGTCTTATGCTGATACATCCAGTAGGTCATTATTGCATTCCCACTATTAAACCTTCTAAACATCGACAGTACTTTAAAGATATGTAAGTTATAGTACATATAATTACCTTAATTACTTATATAAGTATTTCAAAAACACTATAAAGGGTAAGTAATGTTATCTCAGACTCTACTTACTAAGGAATTTAGTCCCACAAAGTCACAAAGGTGACAAAAACACTAGTTAAGCAGGGCAATCACTGACACAATTTTAGTCAGGACAAAATGCCTGCTTTTCTATATCCACTGTTGTTAAGTATTTGGCGCCTTTGAAAAATAGTACACTATCATTAATGACATCCTTTCCTCTGGGGAGCTGAGATGGGTATGGTCAGGTTCCAACAATCAACCACAGAGCATTTTCTCTTGGGTAATGATGGAATATGCCAACACTGTCTTGAAATATTTTAAGAACTTTCATTTTGAGAGAAAATATCCTTGATGCCATGATACATTTCTTTGTATTTAGCAATGCTGACAAATTCAACTAGTAGGTAAATTAGTCAAATGTGTGTGTATATATAATATATTTAAACATAAAATATTCTATTCAGAACCCATTACATCTCCTAAAATTTTTTCTTTAAAATTTTGTTGGGTAGGCTTCTAAATTGTTCTCTAACAAAAGATAACATACATGAACTAACTCAGTGATAAACCAAAATGCTTTAAGATTCAAGAAGAACAGGGTAAGACTCATCATGTAATTTTTACAAATTTATTATGTCACAGAGATCAATAAACAGCTATCAATGGAATAACTGCTTTCTTTCTTTAAAACTTACGTTTGTTGGTCACATACTGTGAACTAAGTACTGTAACAGACACTGGAAATACACCTTAAAACAATTCAGACAAGTTCACCATCCTCATGAAATTTACCTTCCACTGGGCAAAGCTTTCAACAGTTACCCAATTTCAAGAATAAGATACTTTAGTGAGCAATAGA